CCGCCGGCAGGGGCGAGGCCCGGGCTTCGCCTTCTAAGGAGACAGCAACCCCGGGGCGGAGCGTGGAGCTGCCCGGAGCCGCCCCCGCCTCGGTTTAAGGAGGCCTGGTTCAGTTCCCAGGACGCGGGTAGGAGGTGGTGGCGGTGAAAGGGATCTGGACCGGCCTCACAGCAACCGCCTAGTTCGCCCTGGCTTGGTGTTAAAGCTGGATTGATTACCTGTCTTTTTACTGATTTGCAGAGATTATAGATTCTGAATTAATGCGTTGTCTGGCATGAGCATTTGTGTTCTAGGAGGATACCTCCGTTTGTATTGTACTGGAGATTTTTCAGGTATCTTCTCCCGTGCTGTGGTTTGCTTTTGCTTTTAATGAACAGGAGATTTTGGTTTTTGGGGGTTTTTGTACATGGGCTCTCTTTTCTTGCTCAGGCTGGTCTTGAACTTAAGGAATCAAGTGATCTCCCACCCCAGCCTCTTGTGAGTGCTGAGACGCAAGCACCGCTAAATCCACCCAAAGTAAGGAAAGCAGATTTATCAATTTTTTTCTTCCATGATCAGTTTTATTCTAATGGTTTCTTTAGGATATTCTTTTAGGAGCTTGTTTTGAGGCTTACATTTAGATCTATGAGGGTTTGCTTAGTGGTCCTTGTGAATGGTGTGGGACAGATCAGAGCTCCTTTTTTTTTTTTTTTTAACAGCCACAATAGTTTATTTACAATTGAATTATGAACTATTTATGAGATACCAATTGTACACATCAGAAATGGTAACAAAAGTATGAATTACAACACAGACAACAATATAGAATGGGCATAAAACAAAGCTGAAGAGGACAGACAAGCAGTTTCTCTTTAATTTATTAACACTAGCTTAAACTTTGTTAAAGAAAGAAACAAAGAACCACGTTTTAGGAGAACTGCAGGGCCTTCGGGTGAAGATTGAATTTCAAAGTGTTGTATCCCTTGTAGGGAAAAATAAGACTAATTTTCCCCTCATGTTCTATCACACTGTAATTTCACTTTTGGAACCTTGCTCCAACCTCCTTCTCAACAAACCACAACATACCCAAATCAAAGGAGAACTAATCTAGAAGAGGAACAATAACATAAGAGGTCTAAGGGGAAAGGAAAACCAAGGAAAAAGAATCCACTTAAATCTGGCCAGATAGCACCTCATGGATTCCTCAGTCTAAATTAAGTTCAGTGTCTGAGGAGTCCCTTGTGTAGGACAAAAACATGGAGGTTAAATTTGCTAACCATACCCCAAATTAGGAGCTTGACAAAGGCTGAAATCAAGAAGAAAATGAGCAGGATTAGAGAGAGACACTGATTGGTTTTTTTTCTTTTTTGGGCACATTATAAAGGAGCATAACAACATAGATCAGTGTAGGAACATGAAGCAGCCTGCCAAATATTTTACTACCTTTTTTTTCTTTTGGTACTGGGTATCAGGGATCGAACTTGGGTCCTTGCGCTTGCAGGCAGCAGGGCCACTAACTTTTTTTGTGGTACGGGGTATTGAACTTGGGCCCTTGTGATTGCAGGGCAGACAGCAGAACCACTGAACCAAATCCTGCCCCCAGCTCCTTTTTTTTTTTTTTTCTTTTTCCTGTATGAGTCTCCAAGTAATTCAGCATTTTTTCCTGAACGCTTCCTACTGAGGTCTGTTTCTGGACTCTGTTCCAATCCACGGGGTCTATATTTCTTTATGTTGGAGCCAACCTCACATATTTTGAGCAACAGGATTAACTATCTTGACCTAATTCACGCCTACAACTCTTCACCCTGAGGCTGTAGGATGCGTGTGCTCTTCCTGTACACATGGGATGTTTATCAAACTAAGCAGAAGCCTGGCTCTAGACAACTGTTAGCAGATTTCAGAGGATTGAAGTCATATAGCATGTCTTCTATGAATTAAATTAAAACTCAGTTACAGGAAAAACTACTAGAAAGTCTCTTAACTGATTAGAAAGGAACTATACTTACAAATAACAAGGGTCAAGTAAAATACTGTATTGTCAGGTGTAAAAATATAATGAAATCTGCCAGGCATCGTGGCACAGGCCGGTGATCCCAGCAATAGGAAGGCTCAGGCAGGAGGATTGCCCTGAGTTTGAGGCCAGCTTATGCTGTATACATAGTGAGTTCAAGACCAGCCTGAACTAGTGAGACCTTGTCTCAAAAAACAAAAAATAAAGGGGCCAGTGATTTAGCTCAGTGGTGCTGCTGCCACCTGCCTCACAAGCACAAGGTCCCAAGTTTGATCCCTGTACAAAAAAACAAAAACAAAGCAAAAAGAAAAAATCTTGGGGCCTGGAGATCTGGCTCAGTGGTTCGGCTTCCTGCCTTGCAAGAGCAAGGTCTGGAGTTTGATCTCTCATACAAAACAAAAACAAACAAACCTGTGGGATGCATCTAAAACAGTAGGTAGAGGAAAATTTATAGCTTTAGAAGAAAGGTTGAAAATTAATGTTCCAGGCTTTATCTCAAAAAGCTAGAAAAGGAATAATAAGCCCAAAGATAAAAAGAAATAAACAGTAAGGGACGAAATTAATGAAACAAAACAAAAGCAAATAAACAATCAACAAGACACCAGAGAAAAGCCACATAGCCAAAGATTTGTTATTTAAGAGATTAATAGAATTAATAAACCCCTGGAAAGAGTAAGAAAAGAGAAAATACAATTTCTACTCTAAGGAATGAAAAAGAGAACATCATTGGATATACTGTAAGTATTAAAAGATAATAAAATAGCAGGAACAACTTTATGATGGTCCATTTTTAAAAATTAATTGTATTGGTATACTTTAAGTATACATGATGATCACATTCATCATGTACCTATACACGATATATCTTGATTCTTCTTTTTCTCCAATTCCTCCCCTCCCTTCAACTCCTCTTCCCCTCTTTATTTACAAAAGCTTTGTTTCCATTTTTCCTTCTGTTCTCTTTTTTTCCTTTCCCTTCCTTCCTTTCCTCCTTCTCCCTCCCTCAGTCCCCTTCCCATTCAAACATTTTTTCCTATTTCCTAATATCTCTTATACATTTTGGTCCTTATTTACATTTTCAGTTTCTTACACCAGAGAGACAATGCAATATTTAAACACATTTATCTGATTTATGTCACTTAAAATCTCAAGGTGAACCCATTTACCTAGAAATGTCTCAAGTTTATTCTTTATGGCAGAGTAGTACTCCACTGTATTTTTTAAAAATCCACATTCATCAGTTGTTGGGCATTTGGGTTATTTCCAAGATTTAGCTATTAAAAACTGCACTGCTACAAACATAAGTATGCATATATCCCTGGATACGATGCTTTTAATTTTTCAGGAATATACCAACAAGGGGAATAGGTGGCTCAAATGGAACCTATAGTTTTAGTTTTCTAAGGAATCTCCACCCTGATTTCCACAGTGGTTGCTCCAGTCTACACTCCCATCAACAGCAGAGAAGGATTCCTTTTTCCCCACGGCCCTGCCAGCATTTGTTATTGGTTATTTCTTGATAGCAGCCATCATTTCTGGAGTAAGATGGAATCTCAGTGTTGTTTTCATTTGCATCTCTTGGATGACCAGTGAGGTTTAACATTTTTCATATATTTGCCATTGCTATTTCTTTATCTGAGAAGTGTCTATTTCCGATGTCCATTTTTGGATTGGGTTTTTAAATTTGGGGGATGTAATTTTTTTTTAGTTCTTTATATAGTTTAGATAGTAGTCCTTTGTATGATGGTCCATTTTAAATACTAGATGAAACACACTTTGCCAAAACTGACACTAGAAGACAGAGAGGATCTGAACAGTCCTGTACCAATTCTATAAACTTAGTTCATGACCCAAGATCTTCCCACAATAAAAATTTTAGTTGCAGATGGTTTCATTGAGAAATTCTTCTAAACAGTTGAAGAACTATCACCAATATTACAGAAAGCTGTCCGGAGAACAAAGATGAGGAACTCCTTCCCAAATAACTTTGTTAGAGCAGCAGGTCAACATTAAGGCCAAATCTGCTAGACACATTGCAAGGAGCAAGAGTGGCAAAGGAGTACCTGCCCCCATGGTTTCCCCATGGGTAGAACAGATAATAACAATGCCCTTTCCTATTGCTGTTGGAGGACTGAGATGGGCATGTCGTGGAAAAACTGCCTGTCCTCCTGTGCTCAGTAACAGGTGCGTTTGCAGAAGCTGTGGGGCTACAGTTGTGGGGGGTATTGTGAGGAGCTCTCTAGCAGCACTGAGACAGAGGACAGAAAGCCTTGGGTTTCTGAAGGACCATTTAGACTTGGCCCTCACTCTACTTTGTGAATAGAAGAATAGCAGCTCAGAGAGGGAAAGCGAGATGCCCAGAGAACAGCTGTAAGCTGGTCACGG